TGATTATGGTAAAATAAAGAGATGTACAATGTATGCGCCACGAGAACTGGATTCATAGCAAGAATTTCAGAATTTGCTCCGACCACTTCAAGGAAGAAATTATTGACCGATCAGCCAATAATTTATGCAGAACATTTAAAACAGGTTAATCTTGAATTTGATTTTACTTAGATATTCTCTAACACTTTTCATTTTCTCATTTTCATTTCAAAAATCTTTACACACGAGTTCCTAATCAGTTATAATACAAAAAAAATAAACTACTTTGATTACAATTACTTCTTTAATATATATAAAATAAAGATGTTGCTGTTCTACCTAGGGATCGTGTTTTGTTTTGGGAATTTATTAACTTTGCAGGAATCATTTCAAGTTTCTTTTAAACATAGAAATTGGGGGCTCATTCTGATGTTTCTTGGAATCTCATTCCATGTTTAGCCCCAGAGTAAAAGAAACTTCCCTTCGAGAATTCCAAATTTTGTCTTGGGATGTCAATATCAAGCTGATTCCTTTTCGAATACCTGGATATCTCTGATCTAGTGATAAATTTACCTTTAAGGCTGTCAGGGCAAAGACCGTTCATCATTTTGTATTTCATTATGGCCCTGTCATATTTAATTAGATTCGAAACTGAAAGCCATTTACAGATCCACCCGTCCTCAAATTTAGCACTTTCAATTAATGTTTGAGCCCTGTCTTGAAGACGCTGAAGATGTTCAAGTTTTGTAGCGGACAGACTTTAATTCATCTTAGATGGCTCTCGAAAAGTGCCCTGTAAACCTGGTCCAATTTCGACTGTTGGAGTATGTTTTTAAGTTTCCTCAACGAAGAAAGACCACTCTTAAGTTTACACTTAAGCCTCTTGTACTGCTTCTTCCAAGATAGGTTTTCATCGATAGTGCCCCAAGATATTTTACTTCATGGGCTCGTTGGATTTTTTCTCCATTTATTTCCACGTTTATCTCCCCCTGGATATGGTTAATTCGTCTTTTATGACCAATTACCATATATTCAGTTTTATTGGTGTTCAGACTAAGCTTATTTTGCCGCACCCACTCTGCAATGTTCTTACCCTCAGTTTTTAAGTCATTTCACAGTTCCTCAATGTCTTTTGCAGAGTATGTTATTCTAGTGTCGTCTGCATACATATTTGTTGAGCTTTTCTCTAAGCATCGCTCAAAATCATTTACGTATAGGATGAAAGGAGGGCCCAAGGCACGACACTGTCTAATATTATCGTGGTTCGGTCGTGTCACTGGGGAGGATAGTGGGCTTAGCCCCTTAAAAAGCATCGAATTGGTTGGAAAATTTCGGAAACCTCAGTATTTTGTCGGATTTTCAAAAATAATTTTACCTTATGCTTAGGCCACCCCTCCCTAAAAAAAGTTTTCTTCACAAACAATTTTTTTTCACTTTTTCTGCGTCCTTGCTGACGTTTATAAATGAATAAAAAAAGTTCAAAACATTTATATGAAAAAACAACACTTTGCAAGAGGGCAAAAATTTCAACATCTTTTTCTCTGAATTTGGAAGAAGTGGAATAACGCTAGCTGGAAGGTTGAAAGGGTGGAGTAGACTTTTATGGGTATTCAACATTTGAAATCTAAGATTTAACCATAGGAGAGTTGCCTAAAAGTTTGACAAATTAAATCATCTTTGGTACCACACAGCAAAACATGGTGGCAAAAAAACTTTGTTCTTCGATATGTTGTAGTTCACTTGGATCTAGCAGCCATACACCTTCATCCTTCCTTGCCCTTAAAGACAGCGGAGGCCTATTTAAGTATCAGTCAGTCTCGTTCTCTCTTTATAAATACCCCTTCTATCCCAGTGGTCATGGCAAATGATGCCACCTCAGTATGGTTGTACCCAGCCACCACTTATAGCAATGTCAAAGATTTCTACACAAAATCCTACCTATTCCTTGTGCTTATAGAGAGAATGAAACCCCTTCTATCCCAGTGGAAATTCGGAAAAAGAATCCAAAATAAAATTCAAATTCTCCAGAACTTTTCATTCGTAAGTTATCATTTCGGTTTGGGTAATTTAGGCCCGTTTCATTTGGCAAAGGTTGAGCGGAATTTGTCTCTTTGTCTCATTATATTCATCAAGCTATCCAAAGTTTGACTTACAAAAAATTCTATATTAGTGATGTTTTTTATTTCTCAGGTTTCTAATTGATTATGGTAAAATACAGAGATGTACAATATATGCGCCACGAGAACTGGATTCATAGCAAGAATTTCAGAATTTGCTCCGACCACTTCAAGGAAGAAATTATTGACCGAGCAGCAAATAATTTAAAGTTGAAATTGAATGCTGTACCAACGATGTTCAAAATTTTGCAAGACATTTGAAACAGGTGAATCTTGAATTTTATTTTATTTTGATACTTTGTAACACTTCACTATCTATTAAAATCGTGGTTCGCTTGTCTGGCTGGGAAGGATAGTGGGCTTAGCCCCTTAAAAAGCATCGAATTGGTTGGAAAATTTTGGAAACCTTAGTAGTTTGTTGGATTTTCAACGAAAATTTTACCTTATGCTTAAGCCACCCCTCCCTAAAATAAAATTTACGCAAACAATTTTTTTCACTTTTTCTGCGTCCTTGCTGACGTTTATAAATGAATCAAAAAAGTTCAAAACAATTTATATAAAAAAACAACACTTTGCATGGGGGCAAAAATTTGAACATATTTTTGCTCTGAATTTGGAAGAAGTGGAATAACGCAAGCTAGAAAATTCAAAAAGTGGAGTAGACTTTTATGGGTATTCAATATTTTAAATCTAAGATTTACTGATACGAGATGTGCCTGGAGGTTTAACAAATAAAATCATTCTTGATACCTCACCACAAAACATGGTGGCAAAAAAACTTTGTTCTTTGACATGTTGTAGTTCACTTGGATCTAGCAGCCATACCCCTTCATCCTTTCTTGATGCCTAATTAAGTATCAGTGAGCCTCATTTTCTCTTTATAAATACCCCTTCTATCCCAGTGGTCATGGCAAAAGATGCCACCTTAGTATGGTTTCACCCAGCTACAAGAAACAACTATATTAAAAGTCTCAACACAAAATCCTACCTATTCCTTGTGCTTATAGAGAGAAGAAAACCCCTTCTATCCTAGTGCCCATGGCAAATGATGCCACCCCCGTATGGCTGTACCAAGCCATTACGAATAACTATGTTAAATATTTATACACAAAATCCTAACTATTCCTTGTGCTTATAGAGAAAGAAAAACCCCTTCTATCCTATTGCCCTTGGCAGATAATGCCACCTCCATATGGTTGTCCCCAGCCATTCCAAAAAACCATGTTATAAAATTTATGCACAAAATCCTAGCTATTCGTTGTGCCTATAGAGAGACGGAAACCCCTTCTATCCAAGTGCCAATGGCAAATAATGCCACCCCCGTATAGTTATACCCAACCATCACAAATAACCATGTTAAAAATTTATACACAAATTCCTACCTATTCCTTGTGTTTATAGAAAGATGGAAACCCCTTCTATCCAAGTGCCCATGGCAAATGATGCCACCCCCGTATGGTTATACCCAGTCATCACAAATAACCATGTTAAAATTTTATACAAAAATTCCTACCTATTCCTTGTGCTTACAGAGAGACGGCAATCCCTTCTATCCAAGTTGACATGGCAAATGATGCCACCTAGGAAGTGCTACCTAGCCATCATTTATAACCATGTTAAAAACTTATACACAGAATCATAGCGATTCCTTGTGCTTATAGAGAGAAGGAAAGTCCTACTATCCAAGTGCCCATGGCAAATGATGCAATCTAGAAAGTTGTACCAAGCCACCACATTTAATCAAGTAAAAAATTATACACGGAATCCTACCTATACCTTGTGCTTATAGAGAGACGGAAACCCCTTCTATCCAAGTGCCCATGGCAAACGATGCCACCTCAGTATGATAGTTCCCAGCGACCACAAAAAACCATGTTAAAATTCATAAACAGAATCCTACCAATTCCTTGTTCTTATAGAGAGACGAAAACCCCTTCTATCCAAGTACCCATGGCAGTTGATGCCACCTAGGAAGCTGTACCCAGCCATCATAACTAAGTAGGTAAGCATACGAGGATATCAACTCGGCTGGCACTGCGCAGCAGGGTGATATGCAGGAAGAGGAGTCTGCGTAGGAGATCACTGTGTAGGAGGATGTCATGTAGGATGAGGAGGTGTTTTTTTTAGATTTTAGGTGTTCAGCGCATGCGCAGTAGGTCCTATGGTGATGCCGAAGCCAGAATTGTTATCAGTGTATGTGATTACCTATATGTACCATGTTTCAAATCGATCAGAGCAAGTTGAGTTTTTCGCATGCGCAGTAGGTCCTTTGGTGATGCCGATACCAGAACTTGCATCAGGGTATGTGATTAACTATATGTTTAGTAAAAGCGTTGTTGTTTCTTTTACTAACTAATTTGTGTGTTAGTTTGTATATATATAACTTCTCACCTAGGTGTGTGCAGAAGCGAAGAGTTGAGACGACTTGTTTTTCTCTGTACCAGAACTCGATTAATCATTTTTACTATCTGCACAACTATAATAAAACAGCTCATTATAGGGGATTAACTAAAACAAAGCGAATAGAAAAGCTAGGATAAAAAGCGAAAGTAAATTCAATAGGAATATAAGCTGTTGTTCGTAAGTGCAAATATGTGGCTGGGTATATGGCTGATTAGGTGCGAATAAAATGTCGTATTATAAGTTCAATATATATGTACCAAGTTTCAAATCGATCAGAGCAAGTTGATTTTGCGTATGCGCAGTAGATCCTTTGGTGATACAAAGCCCAAATTTGACACCAGAGTATCTGATTATCTACATATATACGAAGTTTCAAGTCTATAAGATCAAGTGCTTGGATAATTGAATGTATAAGACAATCGAAGGAATTCATATTTCGAAAATCGAAATATATAGCGTTTGTGCCCCTACAAGAAATGATAATAATGGAGGAGTCTGATTTGTTTCGAATAACAGAACTTAAACACGTATACACCGGCATAAAAGACTGAAGCACAAGCAATCCACCTCTTTTCGCGGTTATCGTGGTTAGAGAAAGACATACGTACTTTTCAAAGTGAATTTAACAGGTGATTTACCTTTACTTTCAACACTATTTCATTAGATGCTTATACTTGTTTTTAATTTCTTATACTTGCTTTTTATTGTTAATAGTCAATCTTTTTAATTACTTGCAATAGCTTATATTCTTTTTGTTGCCCACCTGAAGTGAAATAGGCTGGTCTCCACGACTCAGCACTTTGAAGTAAGGTATAGGGGTGCTGAGAGACGTCGTTTCAGGTACCTTAGGTTATTGTGTTTGTGTGCTTACAATCCTCCGTTCAGTGCTTAGTACCGACCTTAGTCCATTGACTTTGTACACATGAGTATTGAATAGTCATCTTGTTGAGGTCTAAAGATGTGCACGGGGAGCGTTTGTTACACTTACCAATAATTAGGAACAATTAGTTTTTTTTTCTTTTCATTTTATTCCCTGATTTATTTCCCGATTTATTCCAAATATATAACAATTTAATAAATACCACTACCTTAAATGTTTAGATTACAATGAAGTACCAAAGCGACGATATGGTAGCAAATAACGCTAGAGAGATAAGATTGAGGAGGAGTGGGTATATCCTAAGGTCAATGAGATCAGTAAATCGGAGGATGCGGTGAGTACATTTTTACTTCAACATTTTTTGAATTTGAAACTATTAATTTTTACAACCATCATTTTTTCAAGTGATGCAACAACATTAGTGGTTGGATTGGGTAATTTTTAGATACAGGTTGTGATGTTAGGGTGTTTTATTTCAGGGAACTAACAAACATGTTCCCCGAAGCGGCAACAACATCCGATGATACAGACATTGGGGAGGAGCACAGCAGGGAGGAGATGAATGCGAGCGGAGGAGGAGGAGGAGACGAATGCGAGCGGCAACCTTCATCGGAACAGCCCTGAGGATGGAGGTGGAGGAGCGGTCACAACAAGCGCAATCACCGGAATCAACGCCACCCCCCACATCACCAGAAGCAACGCCGCCCCATTAAACGAAAGTCATTAATCATATTTGCTAAGTAATAACTCAATATAACACTTGTCTTCAAATTTATGTGATATATCTTCCAATGTTTCCCAATCAAAAATTTGTTTGTTAATTGTCTTTTTCTCAGATGTTATTACTGTGTGTGTTGGTGGGTTCACCTTCCTAAATACCCTGTCATTCTCGAGCATTGCCAAGTCTAATAATGGAACACTGTTTTTACTGAATATAAGATCAGAACACACAGCAATGACACTTTTATTTATACTTATTTCTTTCTTTGGAAATAAAATGCATCCAATCATACTACATTTTGCAACATTTGTTATAGAGTTTGGTAAATTCAAACTTCTTCTATTTAACGTTAAACAAATTTCATTACTCATATTACTGGTCTTATCTTCACAGTAATCGGGGTCTCTCCAATATATTGCTTTGGTGAATAGAATGATGGTAGTTTTATAGGGCTGTCTTCATCATCCGTTAACTTGATTGAGATATGTTGAAATTGAAGGTTTTCTATTGGTGTAAATATGATGCTCTTCGGTTCATAATATTTCACATATGTGTCAACTTGTGTATCATAAAATGCAAACTTTCGCAGAACTCTATTCTTATCAAGACCTGCTAGGTAGTTATTTTCCAAAATGTCACATTCCACATTGATAGCTGATTCTGGAATAATGTTTATGCCATCCTTTATTCTTCGAGCACAATTAATTTTAGTATATTGCACCGATTGATTGTTTGTTTCCTCTTTATATAGATACAATGTCATGATTTGACTGGGAAAAAAGTTATCGTGTAATTGGTATTTAGGAACTTTAATCACACCAAGATTAAGCTTCTTTTCAGGGGTTGGTGAATGTTCGCATTCGCTGTTGAAATTCGGAAGACACACCAGGAATTGAGTGACAATTCTCTAATTAAAGACACTCTAATAAACACCTTGAAGACTGACAGAGTGCAGACATCGATAGAAAATAATAGTGGCTTCGAGAGACTGTGTAAATTTATTGTGGATGGGAGAACCCCTCATGACCGAGAAGAAATCAGACACTTGTGCAAACTCTTTCTGCTAATCTCCATCAGTAGTTCAATTGTTGTCACAATATTTAGCCATGTTGGTTTTATTTTACTTAAAAGATTTATGAAGTAAAAAAAAATCTGTCTCAGAAATGTTACTGTCTTTTTATGTGAAACCTCTATAACTACTGCGCATGCGCAAAACACCTAAAATCTCAAAAACTTTTTTAATCTCAAAAAACGACTCCTCATCCTACACGACATCCCCCCACACAGTGAACTCCTACGCATTCACCTCCTCCTGCAAATCACCCTGCTTCGCAGTGCCAGCTGAGTTGATATCCTCGTATACTTACCTACTTATATAACCATGTTAAAAATTGATACACAGAATCCTAACGATTCCTTGTGCTTATAGAGAGACGGCAACCCCTTCTATCCAAGAGCCGATGGCAAATGATGCCACCTAGGAGTTGAACCCAGCCATCATATATAACCATGTTAAAAATTTATAAACAGAATCCTACCGATTCCTTGTGCTTATAGAGAGACGGAAACCCCTTCTATCCAAGTGGCCATGGCAAATGATGCCACCTAGGAAGTTGTACCTAGCAACAACAAATAACCATGTTGAAAATTTATACCTAGAATCCTACCGATTCTTTGTGTTTATAGAGAGACGGAAACCCATGGCAAATGATGCCACCTAGGAAGTTGTACCCAGCCACCATATATAACCATGTTTAAAGTTATACACATAATCCTACCTATTTCTTGTTCTTAGAGAGAGACGGCAATCACATCATCGGGGATTGCTTGCCATATTGACAGGACTGGTTCTAGCAGCCCTGCTGAACCGAACTTCCATCCATGAGATAAAGGAGATGAAGGAGGCTTTTCTTTGTGAAAGTGTCTCCAAATGTAAGATTGATAATTTGCTCTTCGTCAATGTTGTGCCAGTGAATCCTCAGCAGGTGAAAGCCTCTCTGTATTCTTCCTCTTCATTAAACGCCATTTTGAGGATCTTGCTGCTGCAAGGGATTGGCTAGAAAGATCGCGATAGACACATTTTATGGTGAATGGTGAAAGCTCTGGACATAGCTCAACCTGTAGTCCAAAATCACAAATTAAACTGGCAAACTCTGGAGTTCTTTTCACTTTCTCAAACACTGAGACTTTTCCGTGACCAAAGAAGCCAATGATTGCATCTGCACCTGTGAAGGCATCTATTTGCACAAGGACTGAAGCTGGCCCTGAGGAGCATATTTTTTGACAATCAAACAGATGGCCTTTCTGACATAAGAGCATTTGGCCAAATTGCAGCAACATCTGTATCACCACTGTCGAGTATGATCGGGTTTTGGCATTGGGAGAGCATTTTAGAGGCATGAAAGACGAGCCTTGTATCAGCTCCGTGATGATGGCATTCCAGTTCTGGACTCACAGCTGAGGTCTTCAAATTAACGCATTTTTTCCCCGGTTGTGTAATAAAACTCTTGGTTTTTATCCAACGCTAATGACTTGAACTCTTTCCACAGAAATTCTTGAAGACGCAGTTTATTTCCTTTGTTGACAAAGAAGCTATTGAAGGCTTGGGCTTTCGGTGCAGGTTGGTCGCATTTATTTGATGCTTAATATCTTTGATCGAATTTGAGACATCATAGCGGTCATTGATGAAATGAA